AGTCATCTGGAACATAATGTGTGCCCCTCCCTTCCTGATTCATCTAGCTCTGTCTGCGAGCTTCGTCACCTCCAAACAACTGCCTTGAAATTCTCTTCAATAATAAATGGAATTGTCTTTTGCCAATAGGTTGCCTGAACTCTTCTACAAAAACCAAGAAAACACTGCCAGTGTGGATACTTTTTCTCTAAGAAGAAACATTCATTTCCTTTTGCTTTAAAGAACAATTTTGCATAGCAAGGTCTGAGTCATGGATGCTAGCAGCCCAATTTTGAAGGAGGGGGGTGTAGAATGGGCATTAGACAAAGAAAGGCTAACCTTTGGAATACTTATTAATTAAATTTATTTGCTGCCTATCTCATTTTGAAGCAACTCTGAGTGTCTTACAACATTATATAAATACATAGAATATAAAAAATAGGAAATAATTTCAATGCCCAAATAAGAATTTGATCCAGTTAAACACAGGAATTTATTAAGCTATATATTTAAGGCAGGGCATTGAATTTGCACTGAGAACTTTTACTCAATTGTATTTAAAACCAAGAAGCAAAACAAACAAGCTGAAACTCCTTGAACAACTTCAAGTAGGTGAAAGAAGCAAAGCAAGAAAAAAAAAATATTCTTACTCATTCGTTCTAAATTTTCCCCTACATAAAGGCAGACCTAAATCAGCAACTAAGCTGAATCAGGAACTCCCATGACTGTGTCAGGTTTCTTTGGACTGAACTCCAAAATGTAATTGGGGTGACTATCCCTCAAAAACAACACTTCTCAAGTGAAGACAGATTTCCTAATGCTCAACATGTAAAAGAGTTGCAACCTTAAGTAGAGGGCTCACAACAGTTTTGGCTATTGGTCCATGTGTTTTGGCTTTGAGGAATTATATGAGGAAAAGAGTCTCTGGGCTGTTTTGGTTTTGAAACCCTTGTGAAGCATTTACCCTGGACATAAGCCCTGATGCCATCACAGATTATGTTCATTTAATTATGAGCTTGTGAAGTTCATTCCTGAATATAAAACAAGGTCATCCAAATATGCCGCACACCTCCCAACAATCAATAAGATCACACAGTGTGGGCCTTCTCCAGGTGCCATCAGCCAGACAATGTCGGCTGGCGGCGCCCCGGGGGAGGCCTTCTCTGTAGCCGCTCCGACCCTATGGAATGAACTATCCCCAGAGATCCGGACTCTACCCACTCTCATGGCCTTCCAAAAGGCTATCAAAACCTGGCTATTCCGGCAGGCCTGGGGATGTTGACCTCTCGACCGAGGTCCAGCCCCGATTAGACTGGGTGCATGATGTGCTTCTTTTAATCTGCTTTCCTCTGTTTGTTTTTAACCCTTCTTTTAAAATTTATTTTCTGTAAGCCGCCCGGAGTCCTTCGGGATTGGGCGGCCTATAAATTTAATAAATCCAATCCAAATCCAATATCTGAAAGGATAGGAGGAGATTTAAAAAGATTCATCTTTTCCAAGGCCAGTTCCTTCCCTTCGGTTTTATTTTTTTAAACACCAGTTGGATAAAAATGTAAAAGGGCCTTTGAGGAGAAAAGTTAAATCCAAAGATGGGTGTTTATGTAACTATATATCTCCTCCATTCCTTCCCTCTTCATGCCATACCTCATTCTTTTCCAAAAAGTCCCCTTCTGGATCCAAACCAGATTTCTAAAATTGCATATTATTTCTTCCATCATCATCATCATCGTCATCGTCATCGTCATCATCAATCTTCTCCAGTTTATTAAAAGTCAAGATTATAAAATGCCAAACATTTTTTCTCTAAAACCAACTAGTGTAATTTATGCATGAATGAAAATATTTCTTTCTCCATAGTGACGAGGCAAACAATGAAGCTCTGCTCCACCATACAGTACAAAAAAAAACCCAGAATGAATAATCCAGATTACTCTCCAATCACTGTAAGATCTTTTGCAGCAAAGTCCCCTTCCATAAACTTTGTTTCCTACACAGTATTCTACCATAGCATCCATCATCATAATTAAGTTTGGCCAACTGTGAGAGTATTTTTTAAAATAATATTCTTAAAAAATACTAGATAATATTCAGACTTGCTTTGGAAAGCTAGACTTCTTTAACAAGGATTCTACAGAGATTCTGATGCTGTAGCTCATTACACCTTGCTCTTTGTAGCACATACCTCATCACTGACTACCTTATTGAGATACCAGAAATAGTCAACAAAATAAAGAAATGAGTGTGCACAGTATTATCCAATGTACAATCTCCACACACCACACATCATTCTGAGTACAGAAAAACCTTTGTCAATTATCTTCTCTCATCCCAGTCTACATAAGAAATTGTTGCTACAGGGGTAGTTTTCTACATTTATCCTTCCACTCCAAGCCAAATAGGAGGATATGAATGCAAATATAATAAAGGGGCAGGGGAAAGCATTTTGAGTGAGTGGGTGGGTGGGTGGGTGGGTGGATGAATATAAAAATCCAAAGCATCCATTGCCTTAACAGGAACCACAAAAGTCGTCTTCCTCTTTTCCCCATGAAAGACATGGGAGCATATACACCTATTATATTGACTACTACTAGAAGCAAATGGAATAAGGCTGCAGTCAGGAAAGTTACTCAAGGAAGCAAGTTTTTCAAATGAAATGATTTTATTTGTACAAATGCAATCAGTATTTTAAAATGATTTCTAAAAAGAAAATCAATTCATTTTAGTTCTAGCGGTTCTTTTCATGGGTACTCCAATGAGATTACACACACACACACACACACACACACACACACACACACACACACACACACACATATGCTTGACCAAATTAGATTAAAAAAACTTCAACTATTAACGGCAAGCCTATTCAGTTGAATATGATAGTAGGATGCGAAACACTAATACGAAAAACTAAAACAATAATCAAAAAGTTGCTGGTGCTGCATTAGGCATCTGCATAAAACCAATTCAAGCAAGTGGGTGTCATACAAGTGTGCAAATGTGCAGAAAGAGTTACACGTGGATTTTTCTTTTGTATTGATACTTTGAAAGGCCTCACTAAAAGCAGTATTATTCACACATTAAATCATGTAGGTATTTTCAGCAGCAAAAGGGAGCACAGAAACTTTGTACTGCTCTCTTAAAGAAGAGTTCACTTCATAAAGATAAATTATACAACAAGAAATTTAATGTTACAATTGGAATGAATTTGGAAAATGTGCCAATTTTGCAGCAACACATATATGAAGAAATACTTTTTAAAAGTCCCCTTAAATTTATGTTGCATATCATTTTCCAGTAAAGTCAGAGGTCAGGGGGTTACCCGTTTCTGCTTCAACTCTTCAACAATTTGCCCATTCTGGGGCCCAGTTTTTACTAGGCTTCACTTGTGATTAAGTCAGCAATCTTTTTAAAAAAATAAAAAATAAATACTTAAAATTCCATATAAAGATATATGGCCTGAAAAGATGTAGTCTTGCATTTGTACACACAAAAAAAAGAATAGAATACTATCTCAGTTTAAAAACTATTTTTATTGAACATAAAACATTGCTATTGTAGCAAATCTTTCCAATTTTTAAAACAGTTAAATCACTGGCTGTCCAACAACATTTGAATGAAACAAGAACATAAACCATATTTTAAAATGTATGAGCATTGTAGATTTAGAAACTTCTTCAGTAACAGAAGAAAGTTCTTTTAAAATTCAGATTGCATATAATTATGATGAAATCAATTGCAGTTGGGGTTTGCATAAGTAAAAATGTATCGTGCTTTTTGGTTTGAGCAGTGTTTTTTTAAAAAAAAACAATTATGCATGGGATATACAACATCAAGTACTTATAACAAAGATTCATCTCTTTCTCCTTCAATTAACCATTAGTTTGGCTCTGAAACAAAGTAATTGGCATTCTCATAAAATAGGCAGAACATGGGAAGGGCCAAGAACTGCTATATATACTGTGCAATGTTAAAATTTCTCCATGCACTAAACATTTTGATTTAAAAATTCTAATATTCCACTCTCCTCCTTTTCTCTCTATTTAATCCTTTCTGTCAATTAGTAAGATATAGAAACAAAAATGGATTCCGGGGGATGGTAGAGGACAGGAAGGCCTGGAGGAACATTGTCCATGGAGTCGCGATGTGTCGGACACAACTTCGCGACTATCAACAAAAAGAAACAAAAATGGTGGATTCCTTTCCAGTCTGAACTGGGATCTCCATGGAACAACCATAGACAAAATACTGTTTGATATTTTTCCTCCCTAATCAACGTTTAACATTAGTTGAGGTGGAGAGGCATAGGAGAAAGCAAAGGGTAGGTGTAGAAAGGTGAGCCTAAATAGAAAAGGGAAAGAAGATTCCATTTTGCAAGTCTGAATTACTACATCATAGTGGTAGACTATGTTTTATAATTTAAAAGAAAACTATGCTGGGAATGTAATATACTTGCACATTATCTGCATCTTGTATGATGACCCTTTTGTAATTTACTATACATATAATTGAAAAGAAAACCTGTGTTCCAGAGATATCCAGCAACCAGATACAGGGATTCTTGCATTACCAATCAAAATATACTCAGAGTTACAGATTTCATCTTTATACCCTTAATAGAGATAAGAGCAAGACTGGTGGTCCCTCCCTTAATAAGGTTTGCACAATTAAAAACCCTATTTCAAAACAATCCTGGTGGTGAAGGTCAGGTTGAACAGACTATCAAGGACTATCACACCTATGAATTCAAGCAAAGCTTATTACATGTTTCTATATCATATTTAAATTTCATTACAAAAACTATTTCTAAAACAGTGAAAGTATTGTGCTAGGGCAGAGGTCTTCAAACTTGTCAGTTTTAAGACTTGTGGACTTCAAGTCTCAGAATTCCCCAGCCAGCTTCGCTGCCTGGTGAATTCTGGGAGTTGAAGTCCACAAGTCTTAAAGCTGACAAGTTTGCAGATTCCTGTGCTAGGGGACTGGAACCCCCAAAACAGCAAGATTCAGAATAAAGTTCCTACCTTGTTCACTGCTGTTGTCCCCACTGTGTGATGTGTGGCCCCCACTGGAAGGCCCTGGCGTTCCTCCTGACCGTGTTGATGCTGTGTCATCATGGTCTCTATTCCAAGAAGGCTGCTGGACGGAAATCAAACAAATTATTGAAGAACAAGTGATATCCTCCACAACACAGGGGGGGGGGGAACCAATATACAACTTAGATAAATTTCTGAAGATGACCAAAATAAAAATTAAAAACATATTAACATACGTTAAAGTACAGTTTAAAGATATACTGTACTTTGTACAGTATTGATACAATACTTTGCACAGTATTGCCTATTTTAAAGTGAAATTACCTTAGATTGTTGGGAAAGGAGAAATTAAATAACAGTCTGTATAATGCATTCTCATATAGCAAACAAAGGGAAAATGTAAAAATTATAATTAAGAATCATGTTTAGCATACTTAATAAGTCTGTTGCATAGTTATGGGTAATATGGTCAAGCTTTAGAATAAAAAGTAAATTAGAGCAACAATGCCTTTATATGGAGTGTATATATTCAGCTCTATGTAGAACATTTTTGTAGCATTGAACAGAAAACAGATGTTGGTTCTTATCATTGAGCACATTGAAAGTGACATTCAGAATTCTCTGTGAAATAAATTCTTAAGGAAAATAATCAATCCTCTTATCTTCCTTTATCTTCAGAATTTATTTTAATTAGCTTTTAGTACTAAGTTGTTAAAATACTAGTGGCTCACTGGACATCTATATTTGTAAGTGAACAATATTGTGATATCGTCCACAGATAACTAGCGGATGGGGAAAATAAAGAAACAAGTCAACCACTATAATTCTATCACAACGAGAACTATTTTAATAACATTAATTATGTTAAAATAATTGTAACATAAACTTTAGACCATTAAGTCAAATAGAATTTAAATGGTAGAACCACATGTGACAAGGCAGTTCCCTTTTCTGATTTCCATGCACCAAATCAATAATCAAAATCTGCTTTTGTACAACGGAAGAACTCAGATAAAGGTGAAACCACCATCCTGCATTCTTTGCTATTTGAGGTTTGTCAATGACTAGTCTGATAGTGAATGTAGATTAACAGAGAGGAAAAGTGTTTGGAGGGAAGGATAATGAAGAAATTAAATAGAGCTCCATCTAAATTCCCTTACGTATCTTATTAACATAAACATAACATCTACGCTCCAATGAATGCAAAGCCAAAAGTGAATGCCCCCCATCATGTCTAATTTGTCCCCAAAGCAAGCATCTTTAAGAAAAATGTTCACAAACTTGTAAGTCAGTTAATAAAATACAGGTTTATATGTCAAAGGCACTATAAAATGTCTTTCTAAAGAATTAAAATACCCTTTTCCATTTTTAAAAAACTTGGTACAGAGAGAGAGGGGGGGATGGACAGACAGACAGACAGACATATGCTATGGATAAATTGCATCCTCACAATTAAAGGCAAGGCCTGGAAAAAACCCCACATTGTATTTTAATTCTTCTGTCACCCAAACTGTGAAAGCCAAATTTGTTCATTGATCTGGTAATTGAAACTCTGATGTGCAAATTCTGAAAAAGAAACCCCCCCTCTGACAAACAAAATTGTTTGCAGCACACAGCAGCATAAGAATGCTGTGAGAGGAAATCTGGGACACATGCTCAGAATGCAAACAGTTAATGCATAAATTTCCAGTTTGTACAACTGCAGCTTTAAAAGGGGGACTTGTTTATTCAGAGCTCTGCAGAAAGAATGGTACAGCACCCAGGGGACAGACAATGCCAGGCACAAAGCCCTGGTGCCTCAACATGCAAAAGGAGGATGTTTTTCTATGTGCTACAAATCCCACTTGAAAATATAATTAGAAAGAGAAAATGGCAAACTATTGCATTAACTGTAATTGAAGAAAAGGCTAGCAAAGCATGTGGGAGGTTGCAAGAACCCATGGGAGCTCCAGGATGCATCAGATCCTCAGAGTTACATCTCCAGGGTGCACTCATGCTATTTATGTTGCTCCTGACTACTATTGTTGACTAGTGATCTGACTTGTAATTAATAGAAAAGCCACAGATAACAAGGTAAAATATTGAACCACCACCATAACCTCAGCAGAAGTGTTCATTAATATGATTAGAAGTACGAGCCTACCGCTATTCAAGGGAAAGGATGGCTCAGAAATAAAAGAATGATATGCCATGCTATCTATATGCTGTGGGTAGCCTGTCCTCCTTTATGTGACAACAGACCTGAAATATTCACTATCTTTTAATGAGCTCCACTGATTTATTCAGCGCCATTTGGTTTACTCCCCCACTTCTCTACTGTGCGGGATATAGATTAATTCAATGCTTAATTGTTTAGTAAATTCAATTTTCCACATTCTATTCTGCAGCTTTAGCTGAAGTTCTTAAATCTTCAGCGGTGAGCCCTGAGCCCTGTGTTTCTGATCTGTGCCTACCTTTTTTTTTTTCAATCACCATTTTTCTTCCTCCACCACTTAATTCACCATGAAAAGATTTTCCTTGCTGGAAATTCTGATTCCGCTATGATCTGTGAGGCATTCCGATTCATTGCATTTCTATTGTGTTAGGTCTTAGAGGCTGGGCTCTTCTTTTCTCACAGCCATGGCCACATTATACAGCCACTCATGCAAGAAATGTTGGATTCCACCTCAGTTTATCAAAATTTTGTGCATCCCTTGTGTTTACATTTCTGTATTCAGAGGCATCGCTTAATATTTATGCCTATTTGCACTCTGACTGAGTTGTTCTTTCTCTTTTTCAGACCTGTTGAAAACTAAGATGCTTCTAAAAGCAATGTTGAAATTGGCGTTGTTTTCAAAAGAATTCTTTAAAAAAAACAGGGCTTTTCTACGGATCACTAACCTAAACCAGAAATTATTTCTGATTCTTATTAAATAGGGGATAGTTGGAACTCTAAAAAGTTAAGAAAGATGAATATGTTGGGTGAAAGTGATCTGCCCATAAAGAATGCATCCAAAGTAACATAGCTCAGAAGTATCCATTTTGGGGGCTCTGCAACAGCAGTAAAATATTAGAAATCACTGCATTATTTGCAATATTATTGCAAATATATGCTTTTTGAATAAAAATCATATTATAAGGTTCCCTTCTTGTTCATTAACCTACATTAGCATATCTTTGGAAAGGAAAATAAGCAAGAAATGCCTTCACATAGGTTGTATTCTACCAGCCTATGGGAAACTATATAGTCTGTGTTTACTATATTCTACCTTTGTGCAGAATGGAAGAACCAGGTTTTATTTATATTACATTTGAAAATAAATACTGGAAGTTTCAGTTTAATAGCTTGTGGTTTGTGGAAATATATTATTTATTTTAAAAAAGCACATATGTTTCATAAATCACTCCAACAAAACTACCCCCCCTCCCAATAAGTCAAAACACAGACATTTAGCTATTTATGGTTGACATTCTATATAGCATAATGTTGAGAATATATTTTCATAGGATCCATCCACGTTTCTAATACACCAACTTCCAAATGAAAACAAAGAATGAACAAAGATTGCTAGCTCATCAGTCTGATTAACACTGCTTAATCTAAAGAATCCCTGAGATCAGTTCTCCAATTTGTACAATATTTTCCCATATTTCTTCCTAGACATAAATAGCACATCCTTGTGCTAAGGTAGATATAGACATGCCTTGTATTTATTTTAAAACAGCTCGGGAGAGTGGTGGAGTTAGGGAAATAATACAACTTACTCTGCTATAATTCCGTTAGGAAAGGTTAGTATCACCATACACCAGTCATATAGAGCAGCACTTGTGACAGGTCAACTTAAGTCCATAAGGATTTTTGAAAGAACACATTCCAGTCCCAGATCCCACAATGCCCCATCACTATTTTTGTTTACCATGGCTTGATGTGTTCTCATATAGCACATCTGACTTTTAGGATGGTTCCCAATACAATAACATCAATATACTCTACTGCCTACAACTCTGCCATAACATCATTTCACCTATCAGTCTCCAGTGGCTTTGAACATATTAAGAACTTTTTAATCTGCAGAACAGTTAATAGATTGTCTTAAACTGTTGGTACCTCACTATCTTGTCTTTTATTTTTATTTTGAGTATTAGAAATGAGAGTAGCAAATCTTAAAACCACTTACTCAAAAGTAGTATAGACAGATGATGTACCTAAGTTGTACAGAATTTCATCACAGATATTACATTCAATATAATACACACTGCATATAATCTTAGGTTCCATTCACAGAATACTTGATTGATTTGTCTTAATTGATTTAATTCCCTCAACCAAATTATTAGTTCTTAAATTAAGCAATGAACTATGAGTTCAGTTGCAACAATGGACTGAGGTCTATACAGAAGATATCCAGGCAGCTATCTAAGCTGTAACATGCAACCATGTCAGGCACAGTAACAAATCTTGATTTTCCAGGCCTATAATAAGGAACTAGCTTACAGCAGAAACTCACAGATATGATATTGCTAGCTAGGCTCCTTTTTTGCAAACAAGATAGAATTCATATGTATAGAGAAGAGCTTCTTACTGAAGCTCTTCCACAGAAACAGAGCCGTACATAAGGTTTAAATTCTAGGCTTTTCCCCAAGCTTGAGATTGGAAGTCACTTGGTCAATGTTTATATAACTGTTCTACTTAGATGTAACCCTAACTGCTGCTTCCTGCCATTTCGACTTCAGCCCCTTAAATGTCAACTCTATTTTGCTGCTGTTTGGTCAATATTTAAACTTTGTATTGAAAAGGCTTTTTCTTTATTTTTTGTTGTTTGCTTAAAAACTGATGATCATGATGTTGATGATGAGCTCTGATGGATTCTTCTAGCATTAAAAGTGTTTATACTTATTAACATGTGCAAATAGGACAGATTATCTCAATATTGAAGGAGGAGAGAGTGTAGAAATTTAAAAATTGGCTTGATTAGATTATCTATACAACTTATTGGCAGTCAAGATTCCAATTAGAGAATTCCTAAGTGGGATATGAGATCTTCAGCTATAGTTCTAACTTCATAGTGATAAGATAATTCTTTGAACTCACAACATCCATGGTTTCAAAACCGAATCAAC